TTTGTTTATAAATTTTGATAAATGCTTATACTGTATTTATAATTATTGACGATGAGATGTGCTAAAACCAAGTTTATTGAAAAAAGACTCCTAAAATCAAATCAGCCAATTTTGCAGATCATTTTTATGAATCCTGTGATTCCATAAAGCTTTTTTTTTGCTACGTAAAATAAGAACTGAGAATTATTTCAATTTGATAAGTTTAAAAATCGAAATATTTTTAATTGAGAAAAAAATAGAAACCCAAATTGTATCAAAATTTTTCTTGTTATCCAAATAAATATTTCAGAAGTATGTATGTGGGTGGAAAACAATGAATGTCTAAAAATAATACGTAATGTAATCACATTCGACATATCGATATAAATAACCATATTATGTGAGACATATGCAAATTTACGCCTCCTAGTTTCAATGAAAAAAATATTTTTCACAGCATGCACCACGTGTTCGACACATTAGTTAATATTAAGTACGTACATACGTATGTACGATTATGATTGATACAGATAGCGATAAAGTTAATCAGTATGAAATATGATCTTTAATCTTACATTTACGAGTTTTAATTACCAATTATATTTTAAAATATTCGTTTATATACAGGTGTTGCAAATGGGGCATTTATTGTGCAGAAGAAAACAATGGGTTTTTTTTTCTTGAATATAAAGAATTTTAAATAAAAAATTTTAAGTTTTTTGTAAACAAAATTGCAGTTATAATTAGGCATAATTAGTAAGATTTAATTTAAGTGAGGCAATAGACGGGAGTAGTGGTCGTACCCGGTTAACCTTTTACCTGAAAGGTTGTAACCTTTAATAAAATCCAATAACCGGGTTTATATTCTATTGAGGTAAGAGGTTAAAGGTTATATCCTAGGTTATATTCAGGTAAGATCAATGCATGGCTATCAGCTAATCAAAATTACAGGATTAATTAAAGAAATATTTTATAGTGTCTTCTGTTATTCTTCAGACAATGAACTCTGTCATGTCTAATAATTTATTAACATTTTACTTGATTTATATAACCAACTGAAATTCATTCTATCATAACTACATGATAAACTTGGTTTTAGCACATCTCATCGTCAATAATTATAAATACAGTATAAGCATTTATCAAAATTTATAAACAAAGCAATTCTAAAACATATTAGAATATAAACGATATACGTACCAATTAAAAATTAATGATTATGTATATGTCAGATTTTTATTAGGATTAAATTGGACGCAATGTAAGGATAGGTATTAGCAATGATGCATATATTATTAATTTGGCGCACTATTTTATCTTAAGTTATCTTTTAGGTTAACCGGATATCTTAATTATTTATCCGTTAATGAATTTTATAATCCGGTTATCCGGGTAACCTAACGGTTAACCGGTTACAATACCCTAGGGTACGACCACTAGACGGGAGCACCCAAATGACAACACAATAAGTCCTAACGTAGTCTTATTGCACATATAGTACTTAAGTACGTACGTACGTACTGTACGTACGTTTCATCGTTATTTATTCATTAATTTTTCTTACTCCTGTACTCAAAATCTCAGAAAAGAAGTCAAAAGGGTACTACATACGTACTTATTAATCTTTTTTTTTGAATAAATTTTTAAATACAATACGTACGTACGTACAGCGACAGTACGTACATTATATCATCATCGGCAATTTAGGCAATTTACTTAAAAACAATCAAATGTAGTGTTGATGCATATTCTTTATTCTCTTGACCGTTTTTTGCTGCATGTACATGTGAGTTCAGTGAGTAAAAAAAATTCGGATAATCTATTATGGGACCTGAATGAAGATTAAAAGAGTAAGGGAGGTGAGAACTCGGAGTTTGATCATGCTTGAATGCTATATAAAATATGCATAGTAAATAATATGCATAGTAAATCATTTGAGACACAACGCTCGATTCAGGTTTTTTTTCATTGTTAGTTTGGATTGGCACGTACATATACATAATTAAACAGGTATAATTAAATCAAGTGAACAAAGAATCCATCGATATTTTTAGGATCTCTTAGTGTGTGAATTTTTTGGTTTTCATATAAAACCCATCCATTACTTTTTTTTTTTAATCGACAAAAAAAAAGTTTTTTTACACAAAATTAATTCTAAAAAAAATGCCTTCCGTTAGATATCAAAATTTTAGTACTCAGATTATTTCAACAACTGGTGAATCCTATGATGATAAACTTGATCATATCTCCGTAAAATCCCGATTTGCAAGGGACTTTGATGGTGAAACTTTATATGCTGTGTGGACTGATTATGAAAGTGATTGCAAATCGGACGTCTTAGAAAATCCAAGATGTGCAAACGGGTTTGTTGCGGCAATTCTCCAAGGTTGGTTTTTATATATATATATATATTAATTATAAAATTTATATCGATTTATTTATTATCATATATTAATTAATTCTATTTATTTTATTGGTATAGCTTATTCTTCTAATCAACATTTACGAATTTCTCCCGATGATATTTGGTTAACCATTGCTCAAGGTGTTAGTCAACATATCAGTCTTCACTATGAAAAATATCGTCATCGTTTAGTAAAACATGAAGGACAAAAAGAAGTTCAAATATTTGCCGGCGATATTCTTGATTCTGATCTTTCTTCGGTCTCTGGTGATTGGCCTGAACTATTTAAACGTATCATAGATTCAACTGATGAACAAGTTGGAAAATTCGATATGAAAACTTTATTAAAATGTAATTTTTCTACTAGTACAACTGCTTCAAAAATTGCAAGTGGTATCGTTCTATTTGATGTTGTTAAACCTTTCTCCAATTATAAAAATTCTTCTAAATGTGGAATTCCAAAAATTACTTTGGATGGTTCTTTAAATGATTGGAATAAACTTCAAGAAAAAGTCGTTCAATTAAGAAATTTTAATTTCGACTTGGACTTTTGGCTTGATCGTCTTAATCCTGTTATTGAACAATTGGTTGCTACTTATCGTGGTGAAATTGATAAAACTTTTTGGAATGATATTGCAACTGAATTGACTTTTGATCATGATGATTCTAAACTTGTGGGTTGGATTTCTTCTTTTTTTCCTTATGGACGTGATGGTAAACCTTTAGAAGGAAATTGTATTCGAACTTCTGATTTACCTGATGGAAGAATTGCTTTACCTTTTGTTACAACCTCTGGTTTTTGTTTAAAACTTGTTTCCGGTTTTGTTGGTGCTCAACAAGAATATGATTCTGAAGGTAACATAGTTGTATCTCCCATTATTGGCTGGGCCGTTGGTGGATTCAACCCTTCCGAATAGACATTTACAACTTAGGAAAATAATTCTTTAGATCTATGTATATAATGTATATTCAAATATAAATTCTATATAAATTCTCGATTCGTGCTTAATAATATTTGGATATCCACTAGAGATTTTCATTTTACTTTCAAAAAAATCACTACTACATATATTGTATATTTTCACCGAATTCAAATAAAAACCTAGAATTTAACTATTTTATCTATAACTCGTTTTGCAGTATTAATGTATAAATAAAATTAGAATGAGCTTAGTCAAATTATTACTTGTGTTCGAATAAATATAGGAAACCGATCTTATTATATACTGTATATAAAATGATAAATAATTTTTATTCACATCCCTTCGGCTTTTAAATTTAATTAAGATATTTTTGATCAAAATGAAACGATCAGTGAATACGAACCCCTCTAGCATAACCACCCAAATCATTTACGTAAAAATATAATTAATGAATTTTCAAGTGATTTTTGTTATGAAAATTTTTATTATATTAAATTATATCAGATATGTATTTAAACTCCGTACGTAAATGATCTTGGTGATTATGATAGGTTCTTGAGTGAATACGTAGCAATTTCCTTTATTTTAAGAGATCAATCACGGTTAAAGGGTATAAAAAAAAAATAAAAGATTTAATAGTCGAGATTGTCGGAAGTCAGTATAATTTTTTTTTTATAAGGTTTGAATACTACTAATTCACAATGAAACGTTTTTTTTTTTTATTATCTAGTAAACCTTCCTTTGAGTTTCCAACAAAATATTATAGAGCCAGTTAGTAGATCGTGAGTTATTTGTATAACTATATTTTTACATATTACCAGAAGTTTTTGGCATTTCCAACATTATATGAAAGTCTTCGCAAATTTTTATTATGAAATTATACTTAATAAGATATGCAGATATCCGAAGCAAAAAAAAACCATAAACGTGCGTATTAGCGTTAGGTAAATTGATAAGATCGTATATTCAATGTTTGATATCCAAAGATATTTTCGGAATATCTAAGATCGATTAGTCACTTTGTTGAGTTGACAATAATCGATTTTCTTTTATAAAATATTCGATTGATCATCTGATCTATAGGTTGGCCGCGAGTTACCAAGATAGACCGACAGGTTGACCCAGGTAGAAACGTTCACACAATTAACCCGATCAAAACAGAAAACTTCAAGTAACACCAATAAACATCCTTATTGCTGCGCAAAATGAGGTCAATAAGGTATCAATAGGCATCAATCAGAATAATATTATTTTGATTGATGTCTATTGATACTTTATTAACCTCTTTTTACGCAGCAATAAGGATGTCTATTGGTAAATCTGGCAGCAATAAAGATATATATTGGCACCTTATTAGATATCGCTTAAAGGTTGTATCCGTACAAGTGTCACCTGAATGGCCCATTTATAACGTCTATCGATTGTTACCCAGGTGACTCAAACAAAAAAATAACATTTACCAAATAATCTTGCGTTTAAATATCACGTAGTATGCAAGTTAAAAACTCTTAAATGTTAAAGATCATATTTCATACTGATACTTTATCGGTACTATCGCATCTGTAACAAAATTACTTCATCGCACGTACGTACTTAATATTAACTAATGTGTTGAACACGTAGTGCATGCTGTGAAAATTATTTTTCTCGTTGAAACTAGGAGGCGTGAATTTGCGTGTGTCTCACGTATTATGTTATTTATATCGATATGTCAAATGTAATTACATTATTATTTTTAGACATTCATTGTTTCCACCCACGTACGTACGTACGATTTCTGAAATATTTATTTGGATAACAAGAAAAATTTTGATACAATTTGGGTTTCTATTTTTTCCTCAATTAAAAATTATTTCGATTTTTAAACTTATCAAACTTTTACAGCAAAATATTAGTATCGACTTAAGTTTGAAATAATTCTCAGTACTTATTTTAGCAAAAAATCGATTACTTTTTGTTAATGGTGCTCATAATATTGATTCTATTTTTATCAAAATAGCGGTTTGCACTATGATTGTATAATGTTTGTATAATAAATAAATTATATAACTTTTATTAATAATTACAGTCAACCCTCTCTAAATACATGACGTCGGGACCATAGTAAAAAATTTTAAAAATATGCATTTAGAGAGGTTATGCATTTAGGGAGGTAAAAATCTATAAGTGTTATATTAGTTGGGCCCAAGAAAAGACATGCATTTAAGGAGGTTTTTCATATATATGCATTTAGGGAGGTTGCATTTAGGGAGGTCCGACTGTATATAGTTACAATTACAAATATTTATTACTTTTTATTTAATAAAATAACTTTATTTAAAATATATACATTAAACAATTGTAATTTTAAACTAATAAATTAATTTTTTAAAATTTTTGTTTAATCGACACCGATTAATTGACGAATAGGAATAACCGTCTTCTACTCACTATAAAATAAAATAAAATAAAATAAGTAATCGATATAATTAAAATAATATCTCGAAATACTGTAATTATTGCCATAATATATTAATATAACCACAGTATGCAATTGTTAATAGCGGAAGGTTGTATTTAAAAAAGAATATTGCAACATTCTTAAATAAATAGTCTTCCCCTTGAATAACCACGCGTATTTATTCAAGTGCTGCTATCAACAACGCCAAGATTTTATTTAAAAAAAAATCAATTAACTCAAGAGTTTAAAAGAATTAATACTCATCTATTATAAGAAAATAAAAAACGTAATACGTAGCTAGTAAAAATAAATGTTAAAAAGTGTTAAAGAAATATATATTAAAAAGTGTTAAAAAAAATATATTGTCACGGTTTTTTTTTTTTAGAAAAAAAAATCGTGACTTGTAGTAATGAGAATGTGTATACTGTAAGGCTGGATTGTGGCGAAGGCT